GGGTTTAGGGTTTAGGGGGGTTGTCAAAAAGGGGCGACTTTTGGGGAACCCAGGCATGTATGGGGGTTGTGAGGAGTTTATGGGGCTCTTTAGCAAGCCACATCATAGCCCTGAAATGGTACGTGGTACTTCCCTCAAGCCTGAACCGAGCTTAAAACCCATTCTCCCCATACAGACCCGAAACTCTTGAACCCTTAAACCCGGAACCCAGCCTGTAACCCATTTCCCCCGTTTTGAAATGAAACGTGAGAACTGAGGAAGTGGACAGCGGCCTCCATGTAGTCCGCTATTCGAAACAGACTCTTGTATACGTTTGGGGTCTCAAAAATGGGCATGGAAACTACTATTTGGGGGGTTAGGCTTTAGGTACAGACTGAAACCTGCATGACCGTAAATACCCGAAGTCTTGGGAACTGTGGGGTTAAGGTATAGCAAGTTCATGCAGGCTTGCTTGTGCTATCAACAGTATTTTTGTTTTCTTACTATTGTCTTTACTTGCTCTTAGTTCTTACGATCATCCTTATCGCTCTGAATATGCCTAGCACTTCTTCTACTCTTCTTCTTACTCTTTCTGATTTGTTTGGGGGAATGTAAGCCCAATAAAATGCAAACAAAAAGGTCAACCTTACCAAAGCCCCAAAATACGAAACAACAAAGAAATCACCATAGCTCTTGCTTCCTCTAGGGTCTGAATACCCTGGGGCTCCATGTCGATAAATGATACTTTCATTGGGCCCCAAAATCTATAGATGATACCTATATTTGGCCCAAAGTCTATCAATCTTACCTACAATGGGTTATTTGGAGCCCTACGGATGCCCTAAACCTTAGACCCTAAATCCCAAGCTTTCAGGATTTCGGTCCCAAAGGCCCATGGAAAGTAGGTGTCAGACCCAGGGTAAAAATGGCCAACATAAAGAGCTATCACCCCCCGATAATGCAGAATAAGATGGACAACAAGATGGAATCAAATGGAAGCCGAGATTATGTTGGGGAGCTATAGGGACTATGTAATGTAGACGCCTAAAGGCCTAAAGAATTACCAACGTAAAGCTCACAGATTCTCTGTATAATTATAACAGAGGGTACCACAGATGGACCTTACATTCTTGCATCCCCGGGTCTGCAGCTTTCTTAGAAGCTTGAAAAGTGTTTTGTCTTTGCTTGCTGCTGGACAGTTTAGGACGCCTCTTGCAGCTGCATCTGAAAGCGGCCATGCCGCCGTGGTGCGCTTGCTGCTACAGTTCAGAGCCGACATGGAGTGCAGCACGAAGAAAGCCAAACATAGTCGAAAAGCGCGAACTGAAATTGTCACGTCGGTGCTTTGTGCCGCAGCGGCACTGGGGTCCGTCGATATCGTTGGCATGCTTCTGGACTCTGGGGCCGCTATCAACAATGGCATGACGACCGATGGAGTCTTGACAGGGACACCGCTGTCTGTGGCATGCGAAAATGGCCACATGGATGTCGTTCGATTGCTTTTGGATGGCCGGGCCGACGTGAGTTCCTGTTCCCCTGCACAAGCAGCGGGCAAGAACAATCATGATGGCATCGTCGAACTAGTCAGTGGTTTTCATTTGGACAGTTGAACTGCTCGACGATGCTTGCTAAGCCGCGGTGCGCAGTGTGGAAGTTTTCGAAGGTCTGAAAGTTTGGCCATAAGCTCACGATGCCTCTCACATTCCGGAATGTTTCAGATAAAACAAGGCACGAGAGGTTGTGCAGTGTCATGAATTTCAAGCTCTTTGGAGGCTATGCAACCAGGATTTGGGGTTGAGGTGTCGATGACTGAAGTCATCATAGCCAAAGTTGCCTTGTCATCAGCATTGCATGTTCCTGGCTAAATGCTCAGTCACCCCCCTCCCCTAAACCCTAAACCCTAAACCCCCCTTGGAGTGATGCTTAAATTGGAGGGCCTAAGCTTTGAGCTTCTCCTCAAAGACCCATGCGTTATCTGGGTTGCTGTTAGGGAGCTTAA